GGCAAAAAGAGTGAGACTCTGTCTCACAAAAAAAAAAAAAGAAATACTGATTGAACAAATGACACGGTGTCTGCTCACGTAACGAGAAGTCTGCAGCCAGGCAGCTGCTGTATTGGCTCAAGGACTCAACACTCGTCTGAGGGATCTCTCTGAGATTCTCTGACCCTCACGGTTGCAATACGGCTGCCACAACTCCAGGCATCATGCTCACATTCAAGGCTGGAAGAGGGTAGAGGAAGTGCCAGCCACACATGTCCCCTTATCAGGAAAGCAAAAGCATTGCCAGAGCCCTCACAAGACTTTCTTGTGTCTCATTGGTTTGAACTTGGTCTGACGGCCGTGCCTGGCTGCAGGGAAGCGTGGGGGAGCAGGTGTTTGGCTTTCCCAGGTTCCATTGTGTTGGTTAGATTTGTGGCCAAGAGCATCTATCATCTCTCCCCTCCTCCCGCCACCCTTCCCTGGGCTGTGGGCCCAGAGATGCCTGTGCTTTGGACTCACTGTGCCCTCTGCCTGGCCAGGCAAAACTCCTTGTGCAGGTATGGAAACAGAGATGCTGAGAGGGGAAAGGACATCATTGTGGTCACACAGGCAGTCAGTGGCACAGCCAGGACTAGAACCCACTGTCTTGCCTTCTTGTGTGTCTGAGCAGGACACAGGAAGGGGAGCCAGGGCTACACTCAGACAGATGAGGGCCACATCCAAACCCTGCCATTTACGGACCACCCAAGCGTTCTTCTCAGTAAAAAGGGGTGATGAATGCCCTAGACAAGGCGCTCGTGAGGATTAAATTAGGTAATGTGGGTCATAGTGCCCGCCTCCCAGGACATCATTCCCTCGGGAAGGGTGTCTTTGGCCTGTTCAGCATTCCAAAGCTCTCTCCTCTTTCCTCACCGCACGTGCAAGGGGAGCTGGGGGCCCCGGTAATGGTGGAGAGGTGAGGCTACAGCAAGCTAGTGGTAGGGAGGTGGCCTCGGGCAGCCCCCGCCCCTCTGGGCCTCAGTGGGCCCACCTGTGGGCTGGAGCAGGTGAGGCGTGGCGTTGGTGCAGTCCCCTTCTCTGACTCTGAATCGCGGGCGAGAGAGCACTCCTGAGAGAGGTTCCATCGGGGCTCTGCCGCAGCTAGCTGGCCCTTTCTCTCTCCGGATCGCAGTTTCTCCACCTGGAAAATGAGCACATTGACTGAAGGAGCTTGAAAGTCCCTTTTGCCACCGATAGTCTTATTTCCAGGACTCTCCCAACTTGATGTGGTTTAGGACACAACCCTTCTGCAGAGACTGAGTGAATGTAGGGACAGTAGTCCTAGCGCCTGTTATAGGGACTTCAGTGCAGAAGCCCCCGCACCCTCCACACCCACCTCCCTCCCCAGATCCCTGTGGGAACCCACGGTCAGACAGGGGCGCTCGTCTGGGCAAGCCTCCAGATGTGGCCCAGGCTGCAGGAGGCCTCCCTGCTGGAAGGGCAGCCACAGCACCAGTCAGGGGTGACACACAGTTCAGCACCACCGAGATCACCGTGGGAGACGGCGGGCCCATAAATCCCTGACTGCCAGACAGCAGAGGCTGAAATATGTCTGAGGCATTTCCCGGAGAGGAGTCAGAGTTCCAGGCCTCTGCCTGCCAGCTCTCTCTCCTTTTCCTCCCACCAGCCACCCACCTTCCCTCCCGCCACACTCACCCCTGCCTTCCATGCACACACATGTACACACACACATGCACACACACATGCACACACACATCACACACACATCACACACACATGCACATGCTCACCCAGACCCAAACACTCAGAGTCACACCATCCTGGCCTGGGGGGAGTACAGGGGGCTGTCAAATAGGGCAGAGAGACCACGGACTTTGGAATCCTGGGGACCCAGAGGCAAGATCCTAGCTCAGCCACTGCAAACAACTTCACCTCTCAGAGCTTCAGTTTCCAAAACTGTAAAATGAGTTGAGTCCGGTCCGCCCCATGGAGTCATGGTGAGGAGGGAAAGTGAGGCTTCCTCTCCCCCACTCCCCCCTCCCCCGTTTTTCCTCCTTCCTTGATTTTCCTGCCCAGCACTCTGACACTTATGTGCCTGTTGCATATTTATTGCCCCCTCCCCCAACTAGAATGTAAGTTTTGCAAGGGCAAGAATTTTGGGCTGTTTTTTTTTTTTCATATCTGTAACTGCGGTGCTTAGAATAGCACCTGCGCATAGCAAGCCACCAGTAAATGTTTGCTAAATGATTCAATGCATGATCGAATGAATTGCCTGGCATTTGGCAAAGCGATAAGCGAATAGTAGCTTTTGTTGTGATTAAGAACATTCATTCATTCATTCAATCATTCATTCAGCATTCACTGGGCCTGCCAAGCTCTGTGCTGGGCTCAGGGGACACTGAAGGAACCAGGCATGGGGCCTGCCCTCGGAGCTCGCAGTCCGATGGAGTTCTATGGAATAGCGCGAGTGAGATACCCACTCTGCCTGGAGGACTGCATGAGCGCCTTCCCCGCTCCAGGCCTCGGTTGCCCTGTCCCCCACCCTTTACAGGGGAGGGGGTGGCGGTGGGGAGGTGGGGGTCAGACTGCCTGCCCCAAGGCCTCCAGCCCTGCCCTGCTCCCGTTCCCAGTGGTGCCCGTGAACGTGAGCTGCTCCCGCACGGACTTCCAGATCCTGGTCTCCGCGCAGGCGCTGGCCCCGCTGGAGCGGACCAAGGTCTACCTGGGCAGCCGGAGCTGTGCTGCCCAGGAAGTCGGCAGCAACTTCAGGATCCAGGCCCGCTTTGACACCTGCGGCACTGAATCTCAGGTAGGGGGCCGGGGGAGGACGCAGGCACAAGGGAGGGGCTCTGACCCCTGCTGAAGGGCACCAGTCGTTCCCAGGAATTCAGCCTCTCTTGGCTCTGGTGACCACACCGGCCTGGAGGCAGAGCTCAGCCCTTCCTGCCTCTATTTACCTCCACGAGCTTGTTCAGCATAGAGGTAGCAAAGAACTCAAATAGGGGAGACAGAGGACAGGTCCCATTGCATGTCCCAGGGACAACCTGAAGCCTCCACTGGCCACTCCTCCAGGAAGGCCCTGTTGGCTGGCCCGCAGCTAGAGTTCTCCTTTGCTGTCCCTCTCTTCTTCCTCAGAGCTCCCCAGGGGCACCAAAGTCCCCACCCCTTTAATGTGCAGAGCTGTCCGAGCCCTGCTTACCACCTGCCGACCCCTCCCAACCTGATGATCCAAATCCACCCTGCACTCCCCAAAAGAGCCTTTCAAGGAATAGGACTTACCTCCCTCAAAAGCCTGCGAGGCTTACAGGTGAATTTTTGCCTACTATCCTTGTATTTTGGAGGCCGTGAATCCTGGCTGGGGGCCCTCAGAGAGTCACTGGACAGTGGCCCACCCAAGCAACCTGCATATTTGTACTCTTAGGGACAGGTCAGGAGGCGAGGTGGGAAGAGAAGGAACAGCGGTCTCTGTTGGAGAGACCCTGAAGCTGTGGAATCCGGGGGTCTGCAGTCCAGCTTGGCAGAAACCATGAGCTTTCCAGCAAACTGTCCCCACCACGCGTTAGCCAAATGTATGCCCCGGGCCCTCCAGTGCACCCTCTGCGGCCTCCTGGCAACCACCATCCTTTTGACTTGAGAAGGGCAGTGGGGGGTCAGTCGGCTGCCAAGATATTCTGCCCTCACCCCCACTCCATGCCCTAAGTTCCCCAGGGGTTTTCTTTGGGACAGAACCACATAGAGTCGTGGAATGATGGAGACAGACTCCCAAAAGCAGGAGATCGTGAAATCCCAGAACCAGGAACTCATAGACACTGAGTCTCAGAGTCACAGAACCACCACCCTGCACTCAGAACCACAGAACCATGGACTCTTGGAGTTGATATCTTGGAAACATAAAATCTGAGGACCTTAGGTTCAGGGGTTCTCAGGGTAACCCTTATAAATCCCAGACCCACGAGGATCAGCCTCTGCAGAGAGCTGCTTTCAAAGAAGCACAGCTCAAAAGGCCAAAAGCAGTAGGAAAGTAATGCCAGGCTTTACATGCATCGCTTAGTAGAGAATTGACTTCATAGCCACCAACACCACGTCCTGTGTGGCTTTTCTTCCCTTCTCAAGTCTCTCTCTCATTGAAACCCCCTAAAACTTTCCCCCAGCCCCAGCCACTGTGCTTTCCCCTCCCTTATTTATTACGTAGATTAATTCTGGCCTTTCGCTGGGTCCCCTTCCACTCTCAGGTCTAGTGTTTTACAGATGGGGACGCTGGGACTCACTGGGGTGGGAGACAATGGCCGAGCTAGGACCAGAATCCAGGCTCCTGGAGCTCTGCCCCCTTGGTACTGAGACCCTGACATATATATAGCGGAACAGGGTCAGCCCAAGCCCCTCCAGGTGTGAGCGAGCGCCCTGTGATCCCGCAGAGAAGAAACAACACGTCAGTGATCGTGAGCGTGCTGTACATCGACTTCTCCGCTGCCGGGCGGGACGACATCCATGAATATGAGGTCCGCTGCGAGCCCCGGCGCAAGGAGGCTTCTGTCCACCTGCTGTCTGGCTCCGACTGGCTCGGGCCCTATGCTGCCACTGCTGAGCACCTTCAGGAAGCACCACCCAGGGACGAGGCGGAGGCACTGGATGACTCGGTGACGATGGTGGCCCAGGATACTAGTGACATCGTCTTCCTGGGCCTTTGCATCCTGGCTGGAATCCTCATGGTCATTGCCATCGTGGTCCTGATGCTGCTCTGAGCAGGCAGGGTAGGGACCTGTCGTATGCATCCTGCAAGGCAGCTTAGGGACCCACAATGGAGGTGGGACAGGGCCTTGATAACTTGTTGGTGACCATAGGCAAGTTGTGTCCCTCTCTGAGCTTTGGTTTCCTAGGGACAACCTCTCTGCTCAGCCATCTCACAGGGCTGGCAGAAAGCTCAGGGAAGAACGTAAGTGGAGCAGGGCTTTGTACACTGTAGCATGCCGTGTATGTGTATCGACTGTTGTTATTACTACTCTTAAAGATATTCTGCTGCAGAAAAGAACTCTCCCAAGAGTGTTACTTGTCAGTTTGGATAGCTGTGGGCACTGGTGGCAGAGCACGAATAAAACCGACTCATTCTGTAATGTGTGTGAGTGCTTCACCAACCCAGGGTGCAAATAATGGCACCGGTTATTTTCCCAATTAATTGTTCATCCTAAGCCTTCATTAGCAAGAAGTCCAGTATCCATCCAGAGGCCTTTACCGTAAACTGACCCAGGGACCCTGGGGTCATCTAAAGCAAGCCGACTCTGCCCTAAACTCCAGGAGTTGACAAAGGGAGCCGAAGCCCTACCTAGTGCTGTCATTTCAGCCCCTGCCACACGATGTCACTGTTGAAGACCGGGCCTGCGCATCCTGGTGGGTGCTTGTCTGCTGAAGAGGCGATGCCCTGCTGGGTCATGTCCCCATATAAATCAAGCAGGCCCCACACTGCGCTTGCGGTGAGGCCGGGGGCTGAAGAGTTGTGCTTCTCTTTCATGTCGGAGTTTCTCCTCCAGTGTCTTTTGATCCCTCACTGAAAAGCCGATTGAAGCCCCATGTACCTCTGTCCTTGCCTCTGATGTGGAGCCCGTCCTTGCCCTCCAGAGGAGTTCTTTCTGGAGCCCTCTGTACCTTCTCCTGCCTTTGGACTTCACTTGGAGATACTCCAGTCTACTTAGGGCTACTCCAGTCCACTCACGTTTTTCTAAGTTCACATCACAGGGAGCAGGGTGTGGGCTCCCAACCCTTCCCTATGAGAAGACCTCTGAGATCATGATGCAAATTGGTCCACCCTTCTCAGAGTTCTACTTGATGCTAAGCAGTGACACAATCTTGTTAATGAAAAATAAACAAAAAACACATTTATAATACACCGCTTACCTTTATATTTGCATAACTATCACTTGAGTAAGTCCTTCCACAATAATGGAAATCTCCAAATTGACCATGCTGACCGCCAGTATCAAGGTGAAAAAATTGTAGCCCAGTTATAATTCATTTAAGGCCGGGCGCGGTGGCTCACGCCTGTAATCCTAGCACTCTGGGAGGCCGAGGTGGGCGGATCGTTCTGAGTTCAGGAGTTCGAGACCAGCCTGAGCAATAGCGAGACCCCGTCTCTACCAAAAAATGGAAAGAAATTAATTGGACAGCTAAAACTATATGTAGAAAAAATTAGCCGGGCATGGTGGCACATGCCTGTGGTCCCAGCTACTCGGGAGGCTGAGACAGAAGGATTGCTTGAGCCCAGGAGTTTGAGGTTGCTGTGAGCTAGGCTGATGCCACGGCACTCACCCCAGGCAAGAGAGTGAGACTCTGTCTCAAAAAAAAAAAAAAATTATAATTCATTCAAGAACCCAATGAGCACCCACTGGTTTCCATATTCTGTGTCTGCTGCTGTGGCAGGCTCCGGGCATACAGCAATACACAAGCCAAATGAGATGCCTGCCTTCGAGATGTTTATGGTGTGGCCAGGCAGGATTGGGGAGGGAGAGGCGCAAATGAGTTGGTAACCTGAAGAAAAAAATGAGAGAGAAAAGAACCAACAAAGCAAGAAATGAATTAAGCAAGGGGAAAAGGGTTGCCTGGACATTAGGAATTGAACTGGGCTCAAGTTCAAGCTCTTTCACTTATTAATTGTGTGGGCCTGGGCAAGTCACTTTGATTCTATGAGCCTTGGTTTTTCCATCTGCAAAATGGCACCACAGTTCCTGTCTTTCTGTGAAGATGTAGCAAGGTGATGACTTAGGGAAGTCTGCCAGGGGAGGTGTGCTGGCAGGAGAGAGTCCTGAATCTACCCTGGGGTGTTTGGAGCTGAAGCCCCTTCCTCTTTCTCTTCCACCCACCTTCTCACTCTCAGTGTCTGAGCCAGGTGCCTTCGCTAGCCTGCTTTGGGAACAGCTCACAAACTCCCTGGGTCTTAGTTTCCTTGTCTGGGGAGGACTGGACATATACTAGATACTTTCTGGGTGCTCTGGGGATCTGCCCTCCAGCACCATGGACTGAACCTGGGGTGCTGCTGGTGGGACCTGGGACAGGTGGACGCAAGCTGAGCCTTGTCCTTGTCAGCTCATCAGGGTGGGGAGACAATAGGACAGCCTGTGGCAAGCCTAATTCTCAAAGCTGTTGTGTGACTGTGTGTGTGTGTGTGTAAGTGCATGTGTGGGTGCACGTGTGCATAAGCACATGCATGTTGGAAAGCTGGGGCTCAACCTCTCCTCCCCAGAGCTGATCTCTAAGGGCCACCGCACAGAGCCCAGGAGCTCTGGCTCTGTATCCAGAACACCTAGGGTCAAATAAGGGTCCACTCCTTCCTAGCTGTGTGACTTTAGAAGTCACTTCACCTTTGTAAGCTCAGCCTTCTCACCTGCAAAGTCAAGGTGATAATGATGCCTGCTTTATGGGTGCATTGTGAGAATTAAATGAGATAGTGTGTGGCGATGCCCAGAACACAGGAAGGACTCAGTAACAGTACCGTGGACCTCTGAGGTCATGGAAAAGCTTGGACCTCGAAACTCAAGTTCTAGGCCCAGCTTTGCCATTGATGTGCTATGTGACCTTGGAGGGGCCCATTTCCTTCTCTGGCCTCAGTTTCCTTATTTGCAAAACGTGACAAACATCATTATCACCTCTAGCACCATCACTGTCATAGCTACCACCTCCTAAGTACTGACTACATGGCAGGTGTTTTGTTAAAAATATATCATTTCACTTAAGTCATCTGGCAAGGCAGGCATAACTGCCCCCATTTTACAGTTGAGGAAACTGAGGCTGTGGGAGGGAAAGTGCCATGCCCAAGGTCACATGGCTATGAAATGTTGAAACTAGGCTGAGAGGAGACAGTTCTTCCCTGAGCTGGGGGGACTGTGCGGTGAGCTGGGGCCTCTTGGGATCCCAAGCCAATGCCCTCAAATGCAAGGGCTGTGTCTGGCCGGGAGAGGACCGGAATGGCAGAGAATGAGAGGACAGTTTTATCTGCACAGACGTGCCCAGATACTGCCATTCCCAGCCCTCCAGGCAGCCGGCATGTTGATTATCTGCATGAGCCGCGGGAAATGACAGTCTTTATGACAGCACAGTGTCTATTAGAAATGAAAGGGCTGAAATGACACCCATTAGACAACACGCCCCAGCCCGGGAAGAGTGGCTGGCATGGCGCACACGCAGCGCACCGGCTCACCTGCTAATTTCCCCTTTTCAGAGTGTGGGGGGCTGGGGGAAGAGCCGCGCCTAAACCCCAGCTCCCTCCCTATGGGCTGTGCGACCATGGGACGTGCCTACCCCCAGATGGGAGCTTTGGGTCCTGCTGCCACCCTACGCTGTCTCACAGAATGATGTTACTGATGGGGGGTTCCTGACAAACAGGTGAGCTGGTCTTGGGAACATACCCTCTGGGCTGCAGGCCAGGCAGACCTGGGTTCATTTCCAGTGCTTTCCCTGGCTCTGTGTGACCTTGCACAGGTTGCTCAGCCTCTCTGAGCTTCAATTTCCTCATGTGTGGAAGGGGGCAGAAGATTAGCATGAGGATTGGGAGAACAAGGAGAGAGCACCCACAGGAGGCTTCCATCTGGATGGATTCAGGACATGGCTGGCTGTGGGGCCTGGCCCAGGCAAGGGCTTCCCTGAGGTGTCATCAAACCTCAGAGTGGGAAGGGGTCTCCCAAGAAAGCAAGTGCCACCCCTTCTCCTACAGGTCACCCCTTTACTCAGTCTGCCCCAGCCTCCCAGCTTCCCCACTCTTCAGTAGGTTTTCCCACCCTCAGTCCTTGGCATGGAATGTCCTTCCTCCAGAGCATCCCCAGCCTGGCCCCTTCGCATCCCGCTCTGCTCAAAGGGCCCCAACCACGTATCTAAATTAGCAGCCCGGGGACTAGGCACCCATGTCCTTGCTTTATTTCCTTCTGAGCATGTACCACCGTCTGAAATGACATTTGATGTGTGTTTGCTCTTGCTGGTTTATGCTCGACCCCTCGCCGCAATGCCCGCTCCAACAAGGCACTCTTCGTCTTGGTCACCCCGCCCCAGCTGCCACATGCGGCACTCCATGAGGTTTGCGGCTGAATGAATGAATGCGTGGATGGATTTGATTCAGTTCAATTCATTTAACACCACGTGTGTGGGACTCTAATCCTCACAATCACCCCACTTCGCAGGTGAGATAGCTGAGGCTCAGCAAGACTGAGGGGCTTCCTGAAGACCACCCAACTGGTCTGTGGTGGAGCAAGTGATGCAGCGGGGACTTGCGCCCAGGTCCTTCTGAGGTGCTTCCCATGAGATCACGTGGGCTCTCCTGATGCCCCACCACCAACTGAAGGGGTATTTATTCATGCCTTCGGGCGCCGGGCCCTAAGCCCAGTGGATGCTGGGTAGACAGTGGCAAATGCAAGTGGTTCGGGGAGACCTACCCATAAACCAACAGTGGCACGAGGCAAATGAGTGCTGTGGCCAGAAGAGAAGCCCCAACTGCCTGGGGGCAGGGAAGTCCGCCTGGAAGAGGCGATGTCTGGGCAGGGTCCTGAAAGAGACACTGAACAGGAGAAAAGAGAGAGGGAAGGGGAGGAAGGGCATTTCAGACAGCAGGTGGCTGAAGGTGGAGATCTGGGGGGCTCGAGGGAACTCCGGGTCCACCAGGCGGCTGCAGTGCAGAGCGGGAAGGAGAGGGTGGAGGCGACGCGGCTGGACAGGCAGGAGGGGCTGGGGCCTGGCAGAAGAAAGGCTTCCCACACAGCAGGGCCAA